ACCTACCTCTAATGAAGTAGTTTTTTTGGGTTTGAGTTGTCTCTTCAATGTGCAATCAAATAGTGTATTATTGTTGCTTCTTGAAGCTGGTATGGTTTTCAAGAAATCCAAATGTACACTCTATTGTTTAAAATTTAAACAACTTCTCTTTCCTAAAATGTCTTCCTCTTCCTGCAGTAAATGTACATTACATTACAAACTAAAATTAATAGTTTTAAGAGATGGGGATATTTGTAAACCATAAAAGCTTTGTCACAGCAATAGTCTAAATTGTTGATTGTGGGACAGGTTTTCTTCATCTATTCCAACTTACAAGAATCATGATAAATCAAGCATGTACTCTCTCTATAAATATTTGAATTATTATTTATCTTAGCATAGGTTTAAAATTTACTTATTTTTACATTAGAAAATGATAAACTACCTCTTTATTTATTTAAATACTTTAGACTGTATTTTTATAGAAACAAGAAAAAGCTACATTTAAAAACAACCCCTCCCAATTTAAATTATTGGATATTGAAGGAAGAAGAAACAAAACGAAAATGTTTTGTATATGTAACAGCTGGTAGTAAAAGCAAAGAAACATTTGTGTAATTTGTCTTTTAATAGAATCAGTTCTAGGAGAGCTTTAACAGTTTTAGAAGTAGCAGATGTGATTTTTTTTTTTTTTTTTTTTTGTGGTTAAAGTCAGAAGACTGAGGATACCACTTTTAAGAAAATTTATATTTTCTTCCGTCTCCTATGTAGTTTCACAGCTTTCACCAAACCAGTAATTGGATGTTGCAAGGTGGGAAACAAACACAGCAAAGTGGATGCTCCTGGCCCTCAGATCAAGATGATTGCTGGTTTCATGCCTCATCAGTCTGGGCCTGGAGCATAGCTTGGGACTTCTCTGGAATTGATGTATATATGGAGATACATATTTGATTTGTTATTTATGTCTTTTCCTACAATGCTAGCCCAGGTGTAGCTTTCAGCTAGTCTGGGAGATCATACTAGGATATGGATTATATTTTTAAGATAGAACTTGTTTAAAGGTGTTAATGATTCATAAGAAATGCATGATTGTCCTGGTTTAGTACCCTGTTCTGCACCCTGTTGTCTCTTCCCTAAACTACAAATCATAATTAAAAAGAAAAAAACAACCCATACTCACGAATTAAATTATAATTATTTATTGTTAAACACAAATTTAAATCTGAAGATTGTTTGCCTGCATGATTATTTGTCCCAAATATTATTTCATATTGAAAAGACTTTGGAGGATTGTTTGTGGTTGGGTTTTTTTTTTTTTTTTTTTTTTTTTGTTTTGTTTTGTTTTTTGGTTTTTTTGAGGAAAATGAACTGTGCAGTTAAGTTGTGCTGTGTAAATAACTGTCTATTCCAGTACTTGTCAAGTTTCGATACAATTTTTGTTCAAGTATCTCATGATCTCAGTAAAGTATTTATCATATTAGTCTCTCTGAGGTAATGATTATTTGTGTTTGTAGATGAGGTATTCGGGCAGATCAGGTAATGTGTCTGTGCTCACATTAAGTCTGTGCTACAGCTGGAAATTTATCCTGATTCCTCTAAAATCCTTGGCTGTCAGCCTAACCACTTAGACTTCACTTCCCCTGAGATAAAGCCACCCCAAACCAGCTTTAAGCTGTATTTAAGCCCTCTGACATGCTGTAAGAAATAATACAGGTTTTGGCTTCTTACCTTTCTGATGTTTTGTGATACTCATTATTGAGGGCCTTCAAGGGAATAAACAGATCTCTCGATTCCTGCTGAAATCCACATATGAGATGGAAACTGCGTGTACTGTGCATCTCTCCTTCATGTACTTCAAAGGTGAAACAGGGGTTGTAGATGTGATTTATACTTAAACTGGTTTGCAATATTACCCACTTATTCTATGTTTAACTTTTTTTTGGCCTTAAAGCTTGTAGTAATAAAGGTTTTATGAATAAAGAACTGCCTGTGTTGCACAGGAATGTCTTCGCTTATCCTGTTAAATATGTTTTCTGAATTGATCTCTTACCCTCTGGTGCTGCAGTTGTTCCTAAAGAAGGATGTGCCATTTCTTGTTTAGTAGCTTGCATAAAGTTGACAAGGGAGAAAGGCATACGATTCTGTATTAAAGCAAATATTGCTCATGTGAGTTTATTGCACAAAATTTTTAATACTATTATGTGAAATGATATGGTTTTAAAGAGCCCAAGATTTATTTTGTTTTACTTGAAAAATGAAAAGCTTGTTTCATTTAAAAAGTAATATTTTTTTCTCCCCCCTCTAAACACATACTTCTAATATACTTTTTTGTACAAATGCTCATGATGGGTTTGGTTGCTTAAGGCTGCAGTGTATGTGCTTGGTCCGCCTGGCTGTTTGCCAGCAAACTGGAGTGGTACCCCGTGAGCAGAGCATGGTCACACATGTGACAAGGATTTGACCTGACAGTTGTACAGTCATGCAGTGCACGGAGGCTTAGAGCAACAAAGAGGGCCATGAGGGACTGCATAGCAGAGACCTGTGATGTTCCTACTTCCTCTGCAGCAAAAAGTGTGTTAGTGCTCTTGTCAAGGAAACCGGAAAACTGTTTTCTCCTGCCCTTTGTCTCTATCCTGTTTTACTTGAGACTGTCAAGATGTGGAGCTGTTTGTAATTTTACTTTGTATAAAACACTGACAAGCCAGTTTTGATTTTGTGAGGGTCATTCATTACTGTTGGAAGACATTTCATTTGCGTTTAGTATGTTATTTTGTATTTCAAAATTAAGATGCTTGCATTTTGGACTATTGAATTACTTCCTTATGCTTTACTGTAGATTGGCACGTAATATTCTTCTTTTGTCACTTGTTTAAAGCTTTTAATATAAGTGTATAACTTTGTGAACAGTTATTGATTTCTTCAGGGAGAGAAAGTACATCATGCAAGTGTATGAGAGCTTGTGATTGCATGTCTGATCTGCTGTGTGGTACAAATGATACGAGAGGTGCTGAGTAGATTTTATTTCATTCAGTCTTGAAGACTGCTCTGTACTGTTTTCTTCTGCATAATATGTTTTCTGTAAATGCTATAAAAGGAGTTGAAAGTGACCGAAATTGGGTTGGTAGTGAATAAAAATGGGAGTGTGCTATGTGAAAGAAGGTAACCAAACAACTAAACAGAAAGAAGGTCTGTGAATGATTTTGAGACTAATTTAATTAATTTATTAATTAGCAAAAGAAAAGAGTGTGTTGTCTTTTTTGCTTATAAGCAGACATATAGTTGCTGCTTTTATTTTCATAGTGGTGTAGTGGTTGGAACTCAGATAATCTACTGAATTTCTTATTGCATGCTCTGGTCCTGCATAATTTTACTCTAAAAAAATGTCAAGAATTATTACCTAGGGGCTGAAAACTAGAGTTTGCAGCTTGTTTGTCTGTTTGTCATGTAGTAATGAAATTTCAGCTCAATTTGTTTGTTATTATCGGAGTTATCCAAGCACTTAGGTATTTCTGTAATAATGGAGAGGGGTTTCCCCTTTCTGTGAGCATACAGAAAATTAAATTTTGTGTATTTCAGGAATCTGTATTCCTTTACAGCAGAATTTACCTGGCCTGTTACAGCTAACCAAGTTCTAAAGCTTTGCCCTCTTACAGAAATAGTGTCATGTACGAGATTGCATGGCTTCTTCTTGCAACGTACTTATGTCAGCGTAGTCTATGTGCATTGGTTACAGTATTGCTGGTGTGATTCAGGACTGTAATGGGGGCAGTGGTGGATGAGTTTCATCCTTGCCAGCAGCTCCTCTGGCTGCTGTGCATTGCTGCTGCATTCAAAAGCTTGCCCATGTCACCTTTGGCTCTTGAACTCAGTTTGCTTGCAAACTGGAGGAGCAAATGGAGTTGGTGTCAGGTGTCTCTTGCCTCCTTCTGCCCTGTTAGGAAGGGCAGCACCTGAAATGTGGGAAGAAACAGGTGGAGAATTAACAGATGCAGCTAAGTATCTGATAGGGGCAGTAAGCAATAGTAGCAGGAATGTGAGGGACTGCAAGAGAAAATGCAAATAACAGCTGAGGGGAAGGAATGACCTGAATTTGAAAGGAAATGGCTGTGAGGAATGTGTGTGTATATCTGAACAATACCATTCATGGAAAACATTTCTGTTTTTTTCAGCAACAGCATTAAAGGTGGCAGTTGTAGATGCTAGTGAAGTCAGGTCTGAGTTTGTTGTTCAATTTTAACAGGAAAAGAAATCACTTTTGTAGAAGGAGTGGCCTCATCTGTTCAAGAAACTGAATACTAGTATATTATTGCTGTTTAAAGGCTTTTAAAATGCAGACTTTTAATTGCTACTGGGTTAGTCACAGTAAGTTCTTTTGCATTTGATTTACCTGTGTCAATAAGACACTGAATGATGGATTAAATAGAGAGGACTGAAGAGAAAGTGGAAAAGGAAATCACTGCACATGAGGATTTAAAATAAAACTAAAGAAAAAAAAAAAAGACTCCGTAGTGGAGAGTAGGAATTGTACAACTTGTATGAAGACCTTTGTGTTTGAGTGTTTGATCGCGGGACAAGATCAAAATCCCTGTGTTCCTCCAGAACACGTTTTCATGAACTTGTGTTAGTTCATGCTTCTGAGAGTTTGTGACATGGCTTGAAAGCGGCTGAGGGGTCTATTTCTGTTTATGGTTTTATAGACCTGGAAGCACCTTCCTGAAGAGTGCACTGGGGATTCCAGACGCTCTTGTTCATCTTAATTTGGCATTCCTTTGACAAGGAAAATTTGAATCTAAGAGTTTTCAATGAATTATTGCCATCTATATGAAGATAGATTAAGATATTGTTTTAGAAACTGTCTGTTAATAGTCATCATCCTAATTAAGTGGCTGGAGCATTTCTCCCTTCTGTCACAGGTACAGAGGACTGTAGTGAACAGCAGAGTGGGGGGGTTTAACAGTCTTATTTACACATACGTTCTATGTATCAAACTCCTACTTTAATAATGTTGTTTGTTTCTCCAGAGGATGTCATTCCCTGTGGATATATTGAACAACTGCAGTCATGAGGACTTGGAGAGCTCAGCAGATGACTTCCTCTTTGACCTTCGTTGGGGGTATCTAGACTGTCCTGCATTTTTCTCTCTACCAGACCACCGCAAAGTAAGAACTAGAAAATACCACAGTCCTAGTGTTCTTAGTATACTTGTAGATTTAGGAATTAAAATGCTCACTCTTCAACTATTAAATGACATAATTATTTTAGCAAAGCTTTTGGATTTTCCAAATTCAAAATTTGTGTGTTAAACTCTACTTATTTTATTTTGTAATTGGTATCACTGACTGTCTGGTGCTTCTAGGCAGTGGATCTGTATTCATTAAGTACTTTAAAAAAAAAAAAACACACCAAAACACCAAACCAAAACCATAACCTTAAATCTTCAACTGATTATTCTAAACCTTTACTAAAAAGGACTACCTCATGCAGTCTCAAATATCTATCATCATAACTAAGGAGTTTATGTGTTATTGAAACTGATTGGCTCTTTTCATATCTCAGTCCTTCAGTGTACTTCATTCGTAGTTTTGATTCTGATTAGTAAGTTTCACTGATTTCAGAAGTGATTCTTTTCTCTCTATCTGAAATATTCCCTGCTGTTATTGAACTCCAGTAATGGCTATCTGTGACACTTCTGTGTTTCTTGTGCGATAGGTTGGTTAGTGTTGGTTCTGTCCAGATAAACATTTCTGTTAGAAATAAAACCAGTAGTATATAGCCTTGATGAAAAGTGAAGCTGAGAGGATTCTCTGTGGGACCTAAAGGTCAATGCTGCAGATTCCTTGGCAGAAGCAGAGTCTTGATTACTTTCCTGCATTTCTGCAGGTATTGTATGCTGAAATAGTTGCTTGAATTAATGTCCTAATTTGTGACAATAGCCTGTCATAGTCTTAAATTGGTTAAGCAAGTTTGTTTACCACACTGTTAATGTCTGTCTACTTTTTATGCTTTAATTAAATATAGGAAACGTGTATTTAAATATCAAAATGCATTTCCTGAAAGGTACTCAGTTCCTTAAAGGAGGATTATTTTATCCTCTTCATGTTGTTTGTGAGGGGAAAATCAAGCAGCCAACTTCATAATTGCTAAAATGTGTGCAATTTAGGGGAACAAAACCCTTTTGAATCCAGCCTTCCCATCATAGTACTTTAGAACTTGTTAATAAACAACAGTTTTGCTGTGCCAGTTTATTGCTGTGCTTGACTGCTTCATTCTTCTGCTGGCTTTGACAGCTTGCGCAGTTGGGACAGTTGAATAACCTAACGCTGGCTCCTCGCACACCTTACTTTAGTTATGCGCACAAATGCAAACTGTTGACAGAACAGAGAAGTAACAGTACAAATTACTGTAGCTAAATCTGCCACAGTGTGAGAGTCAAGCTCTTTGTAATGTAGTCTGTCTTTAAGAAGAGATGTCTGAAGTAAGGGCTGGGGTCTGATGCTTGTCCTTTACAGTTTCTGTTAATGAGTCGATTTTCAACATTCATATTGTTTACCTTGCTTAATATTCTCTGCATATTTTACTAATGTTGTTTTAGTAAGGGTCTACTGAATTATTGTACATTCTCGTTTCAGGTTCCTATTAGCTTGTCAACTGTGGGCTATGTTCCTCTTTATGGTGAAGAGCAGACACACAAAGTTCTTGCGCTGTTTGCACCATGGGACTCGCTCACAGGTGTCATTTTAAGTTTTTTCTCTCTCTGTTGCTGTATCTTCTTTTTTTTGGTGATAAATACATGTAACCAGGCCCTTGCTCATTCCATGCTTCTGTAGCTCATAACTTTGGCAATTGAGCATTTGTTGTTCGCTGTCTTCTTGTTCACATACTATTATTTTTTGTTGTGAATTCATAGAGACTAGTAATAGAACTTTGCACACTAATCAGAGCAGAACTGAACTCTTGAATTCAGAAGATATGTAGGAAAACAATGTGGTACTTGTCTGAACCATGGTATAATATGTATCTCCTGATCTCTTTATGTACACTTCACCTCTCCAAAAGGAATTTATTGAACATTCTTAGAATACATTAATTTGCCCATGAATTTAGATGCTCTTTTTTGATAGTGATTGATCAGCATCAACTGTAAATTATCTTTAGTTTGAGATCCCAGCACAGGTCTGGCTAAGATGACATCTCAGTTTGTGTTCCCTCCCTTCCTTCCTCCTTCCCTTCTCCTTTCCTTCTCTTTCTGTTTAATGCCGTATATAGGATTGCCACAAATGCCTATGGATTATACTCTTCCTGACTCTTACTCAGACCATCAGCCTTTTTACATTCATCTAACTCCCTAAAACTTGCACAGTTTCAGTATCAATATCCACTAGCAACCCAAAATATATGTATGAATGAGATTCCCCTTGGCAAGCCCAGTTTTTAATGGGAGGAGGTGCTAGAAAGACAGTGTTTATGTCTAGAAAAATAGTTCCTTTATATTATACTGCACAAAGTATGCATTTGGGTTTATTATTCTCAGTTATCAAAAAATATTTGGACTAGGGAGCATTTCATATGGGCGCCACATAGAACATGCTTAACTTGGTTACTACAGTTTTATTCCTGATGATGTAACAGTTTTAGTGATTGTGTTTCTTTTGGAATATAAGAATCACTAACTATTTATTTCCCTTGTTTCTTTCAAGCTGTAGCCCTGTATCTTGCTGACCAGTGGTGGTCAATTGATGACATTGTGAAAACATCTGTCCCTGCTAGACAGGGGCTTCATCAGGTAAAGCACTCCAACATTCACCTAGCAATTAATCTTCTACTTCAAGACATGGCAAATAGCTAATGTGCAAGATACTACATGTTTTCATTTAATTTAGAAATTAGATGGCTGTTCCAAGTCAAAGGAAGTAGAGGAATAGGTACTACAATCAGGAAAGGAACCTGTTTGTGAGAATAGTGTCTAGAGCAAGAGTGACTCTTGTACAGTAGCTTCATATGTAGATTATTTAGATCTTAACGACATTATGAGTTTTTTCTTTACTCTTTAGAACGTTGTTATCTGGTTGTGTTGAAACACCTTACCAGAGTGGTGGATTTTAACATAGCAGTACCTGTTGGTCTTATCAGGAGACTAGTAAACCAAAAACATCTTCAGGAACCTGTTTGACAGAAGCAAATTGAAGCTGGTGGCTTGCATGAGGCTGTGGTGAGGCATGCTGGCTATTTATGAGGTCTGGAAAAGTAAGTTGCCTGGTGTCAGCTTTATTGTTCCTCATTGGCCTTTTTTAACATTATTGACACCAGTGTAGCATGGAGTTATGGGGTTTTTTCCCAGAACTGGGAATCTGTACTTTTCCAGGAGTGAAATTTATATCTGCCCAGGGAATCTGGGCACTTTTGTATTTTCTCTAGAGAATTTGGCATGTAGCCTTGCTTTCCTTGTGCTTCTTAATGGTAAGATGTTGATTAAGTCAGGAAAGCTGAATCTTTTACAGGTGGGGTAACTGAGACTGAGCATTGGGAAGAGAGCATGATTGCTCCTTCCTTCACAATGGGTAGAATAGTGGTGAGCTTAAATTTCATATACAAAAGGAACCCCGCAGGTCAGAGAAAAGGATATTGAATTCCTTGTTTCATGCCACAGAAATTGTTGTAACTAGTTTTTTCACTACATCATGTCCTGTTGCCTGCCACTCTATCAGCATTGATTGAGCGTGCCAAGTCCTGCTACCCTGTGAGGCTCATCACGTCTCCTTTGTAAGACTTCAGTTACCTCCTAACCTGGGAAGTCCAGGGCTGGTGTACTGCTACTGTGTTTGGTAAATGTTTCTTAAGTCCAAAATAGTTTTGAGTTAAATCATAACATTCCCACTCCACTGCCCTTCTCCCAGCACTTCTCTCAGCTTTTATGCATTGCATAAAGAGTAACACTGAAGTCATGAAATATCCTCTCTGGTAGTGATTTATACTTAACCTATTGCTATATCTTCTGAGCATCTCCTTCCTCTCAAACAAACCCCAGAGAGTCATCCTGCTTTAGCACTTACAGCTTTCCTTGAGTCCATGTGCAGCTGTGTTAACTGTCAACTTTGAAAAATAAGGTCTTTGATGTGTGGATATTAACAAATCTGACTGATCTTCTAAAATGCTTTTTCTGTGTTCCCTTAGGTGCAGTCTGTCGGAGAGAGGATTGTTCTCTACGTTCTGAATAGAATTATCTATCGAACGCAAGAAATGGAAGGAAATGAGATCCCATTTCTCTGCCATGGAAGCAGTCACTATGCTAAGATCATGTGGAAAAAAGGAGAGGCTATTGGATTCTATTCTGTTAAACCTACAGGTAGGAAATTTGAAGACTGTTGGATTTGGGGTTCTAAAGTTGTGGAGATAAGGAGCTTATTTGAAGAATATTGTATGTAGGCTTTACAAGCCTTGCAGGACTATTGAGACGTTGTTTTCCAATAATTGTAAGAGGTCACATTGCTGTTAACATCTGTAACATAAATGCTTACATGCTTTAGCAATTTAAGAAAGTTCTTAGATTTCTTTATATTCTACAAAACATATTTGAAACTGTAAAAATTTGATATACTCAAAAACTTTTTTCTTTCTTTTTCTTTCTTTTTTTTTTTCTGTTAAACAAAAAGTGTGGGTTTTTTCAGTTATTTACAGTTGGGTTGGACTATGCTTGTCTTGAGTTAGCAAAAACTGAAGGCTTTTCTTTCTAGGCATTATCAGTATTCCACTCATTTTTCAGTGTGTGCTGTATTCTTCAAATGAGTAGTCTATATGGAAGAGTACTGTTCTGAAAACATGGTTAGGAAGAGGTGAAGCTTTTCTAGTATCCCAGAGGATACCCAAGTAATGTAACCTCTCTGCTCAAGTTTTCCTTGCTTGAAAAATAATCATACAATGGCTTGCATTGGGTTGGAAGGAACCTTAAAGACCATTTAGTTCCAACCCCCCTGTCATTGCAAGGACACTTTCTACTAGACCTGTTTGCTCAGGGGATTATCCAACATGGCTTTGAACACTCCGTGGATGGGGCATTCACAGCTTCTTTGGGCAACCTGTTCCAGTGTCTCACCACCCTCACATTTCTTCCTAATATCTAATCTAAACCTGCACTCCTTCAGCTTGTGACCATTACCCATTGCCCTATCGCTAAAACCTCCTGTGAAAAGTCCAACTCTCTTGTAGGCCCTGTTCACGTACTGAAAGGCTGCAAATAGGTCACACTGGAGCCTTTTCTTCTCCAGGCTGAACAACCCCAACTGTCTTATTCTTTCCTCATAGGAAAGGTCCTCCAGCTTTCTGATCATTTTCCTGGCCCAGAGATAAGCGTCATTGGCCTTAAAAATACAAGGTTGCAAAGACTATGTTGTGTAGACAGCTGTATGCTTCTCTTTGGCCTTGTTAGAGAAGAGGGAAATGTTTTGGCATAGTTCACACAGATTCACAGAAAAAGGGCCTGAAAATGGATTGGATAGTTAGTAGACTATTGTAATACCATTGTATGACATCCCTTTGTCACCATTGAGTTCATAGCTACCCTTGGAATCACAGAATATTCTGACTTGGAAGGGACCCACAAGGTTCATTGAGTCCAGCTCCTAAGTGAGTGGCCCATAGAGGGATCAAACCCACACCCTTGGCATTATTAGCTCCAGGCTCTAACTGGAGTACTTATGTGTTTTGACAGTCTATTCCATCTTTATTAAATTATGGATAATATGTTGTTTTGGGGAGAATTTCAGTGTAAAGTCTTCTAGGTTTTTTTGTGTCTTCATTTAAAATATCAGAATTATTGTTTCAATCTTTAAACAAGAACTGAATTAGTCTTCAGATTTGTCCTAAGTAATAATGTAGTCACCATAAAAGTGCAATTCAAAAATTTTGTTTTCTCCTATTCCCTCCTCCATCTTTCAGCTTCATTTTTATTACAGTTTTCCTATGGAGTTGTATAGTGAGATTTCAATGTGAGCCTTTCCTTTCTATCTTGTCTGTTATTTTCTGGTACTACAGGCTTTTTCTATTCTATTAATCTATTGGTATATCTTGGCAACACTACAAAGCTTGCCTGAAAGAGACAATAAATGACTGATAACAATGATTTATTTTTAATAAAGTTATAAATTATTTTTGTAACTTTATACTACTTAGTATTGAATAGTTTGGTATTTTTATAATTTATAAAACTTCTTATTTGAATATGCTAAAATCCATGTTGCAGCATGTTAGTCAATATGCAGTATGTGACCCATACTGATGGATATTTTTTTCCTCTTGATTATTTCAGGAAGTGTTTGTAACTCATTTTTTCATCAGGAGTATAAACTGACAGTGCTAGACTCAATGTTTGTGAGAAAGAAACATCGTGGGAAAGACTCTGGGCTAATCATGTTGGAAGACTTTGTGGATTCCTTTACTGAAAGGCCTCTGGGCCTACGATACCCACTGTCGTCCTTTGTGTATACAGGTGGGTTCTTTAATTTGTTCTTCTTTGTAGTTTCTTCACATGTCCAGGTGAGTCCTGTCATTCAAACTCAGTGTTTGTGAACTCATCCTCAGGTTCTATATTAAATGTTCTACACTTTAGAGAGGGCTAAAAATCCTGATTTGTTTAAGATGAAGTAGTTCCTGGTTAGATTTTTAATCCTCTGCGTAAGATTAAGTTATTTAAACTCTGTTGGCTTCTGGTACACTGTCATCTTCCCCCCACCAAACCTGAAGAATGGGCTGAGGTGTTTCTGTGTGTGATCTAATGTATTTCTTTGTAGCCTCTTTTCCTTGCTCACACCTAAGACTTATGAGGTCACTTAAATCTCCTGCTTTCTCTGAACTTCTGGTGAAAAGGACGTAGTAGGCTATTTTTTAACTTGTGTATCAGAAGGCACAGTTCTAAAATACAAAGAAAACACTTATGGTTCTTCAATTAGCAATGTAAGAGAGCTGTGTCATGTAGGAAATTACATGGATTGTGGAAACTATGTTCTTGGGACTGTGCTCAGGCAAGAAGCACATTTCTTTTGCCCTGTTTCTCAAAGCATGTCCTAGTCTTATGACATTTGCTAGAGTTCCTCCTATTTTTATCTGACGTTCTTAACCACTGGAAATTTTCTAATTTTCCAGCTACCACTGTCTGTTGCTGGAGCTGATCTGGTTTGTTAGGCTTCAAATAGGAAAATGATTTGAGCAGAATTCGATGACTAATTCTTTTCCATGGTCAAGAAATTATACAGTGGGGATCTTGTGTGCCGAAACTGCATCCGTAGGGAAACAGGTGAAAAGTGTTTTCCTGCCAATTAGTTTTTCTGCCAACTGCTACAGAATAATGACAAAGTGTGCCACTTCACCTCTATGTTTAATACATGTATAGAGAGAAAAGAGGTGGAAGGAGTACAGAGTGGAAAATATTCTAGAAGTGAACAATGAGTGGATGGTTAACTATGCAATGGTAACATGTTAACATTCCCAGAGAGTGCTTTTCACAAGTGCCTGTAATAAGGTGGGGTGACAAAAATAATTTGACTACATCATCTGCTTAAGAACTCTTCCATCCTGAGTTGAGTCTTGTGATTGGCAGGAACAGTGACCAGTGAAGTTGCAAAACTCTTGAGTGGGTACCTAGGGAAGAATAAAACCCCATCCCTCTTTCTTTGCAGATAATAATGGAAATATTTAAAAATGAAGAAAGAATAAATTAAGAGGGATCAGTAGGGTAAAGCAATATTATGTTTATTTCAGACTTGACTGTTTTGTTAAGCAGTTCTTTCTGTGTTTGTAGATTGCAAAATAATTTCAGATAAAATTTAAAAACTGAGCTACAGCTGAATATATAGTATCTATAATATAGTGGTTTTTCTTGTTTACTCAGCTTGTAAGCAGTATCTTGAGAAGTACCCTGCGGATAAAAACCTTTTGTGGCAAGTGGAGGGAGCAGGAGATTGGTTCCAAAGAAAGTCTATTATTTCTATAGTGCAGAAGGAAAATCTCAAAATTGCAGGTATGGATGCTTTGTTTTGTTGTTCTCTGGCACTTTGTAAAAGTTGAACAAACACTCTACAAGTACAAGAGTGACTTCTGTGAACACTGTCTATGGAAACTAGCAGAAAGATTTTTATTTGTCCTGAGACCTGTGAGATTATGTCCTTGACACAAGGTAAACATTACTTAGCAACAACTAAAACTGTTTTATCAACATTATTTTCATACTAAATTTAAAACACAGCACTGTACCAGCTACTAAGAAGAAAATTAACTCCATCCCACCTAAAAGCAGGATAACATGCACTCATTTTTTTATATCATTTACATCATGCCCATGTTCCATGCTGTCCAATACACCATCACCTTTCCTGTCTTTTGATATATAAATACTCATCATGCACCTCTATCATTCCCTTAGTCTATGGACCATCCCTGTAAAATGTCCATTGAGTTAATTTGGGTAAAGTCCATGACTTTGGGGTCCACCTGTCATAACAGTCCTTCAGGGCAGAAAAGATGGTATGTGTCATGTTGGATTGTTGCATGCTGAAGCTAGTTCTGATTCCATCACCACTACTTGTCTGGTTTTACCATAGTTCATTCTTCATTGATCTGGCTGATTTTCACTGTAATGCCCTTGATATGACAATTGAAAGGCAATCAGTTTCAGATCCCCAAATTCAGAGTGGTGAAGACAGGCGCTGTGAGGTGCCCAGTGCAGTGATGGCCATATAATCAACATCATAGAATTTATTGGCTACTCTCACCCAAAATCAAATTCCCTCGAGGTTTGCAGTGGACTCTACCCATCCAAGTGCATCCACATCCTTGTGTAATTCCGCAAATGTGTTTGTCTTTGCCTGAGGCAGGAATAGCCCAAATTATTTAAGTGCACTACAGGAACTTTATCCCTTTCTACAGTGTGTAAAATTTTGATCAAGCAGGGTCAGACTGACTGGCAGATCCCCTACCGCTGACTTAACAGGTTGCTTTTGTGTGTCCTGATGTTCGAAGGTCCTGCTATCCATTGCTCCTGGATAAATGGATAACAATTCATTGTATCATTTCATTTTTCTGAAGACTGGTGCATGGTAGGGAGTGTGATATTCCCACTCATTGGACTTTGGCCCAGTTGTCTATGGGATTGTTTAGGAAATTAATCCTTCTATCTGACTCTGTTCTTTCTGGAGCACTCTGTCACTATAAGACTTCTTCTTAAGACCCTGTGTTCCAGGTGGTAGCATGGGGCAGAGTGGTTGCTTCCACCCTTCTAGTGGTTGCTTCCACCCTTCTAGTGGTTGCTTCCACCCTTCTAGTGGTTGCTTCCACCCTTCTAGTGGTTGCTTCCACCCTTCTAGTGGTTGCTTCCACCATTATAAGCACTTACCCTAACTGGTTTGGGGGATTGTGATATAGATAATTTGCCCAGTCTCTCCATGTTTATATTTCAGCCATCATTCTCTGTACTAGAGAGGTTTTAATCACTTGGTGTGCAGTGCATGTTTCACATTCATGGGTAACCTCTGCAGTAGTGTCCACGGTCAAGTCTACCCCTGGATCGTGTGCCTGTCTGTAATTTGCATCTCTTCCTTGGTTACCTGAGGTGTCATGGACCCACCAAGATGGAAATAATTCACCCTTATGTTGCCAGTCCTGATCCACCTGAGCCACTTCAGTCTTAGCAGCCTGATGCATCTGCTGGTTGTTCTGATGTTCTTCAGTGGCCCGACTCTTGGGTATCTGAGTCTCTACTTTCACCGCCACACTGCTGCCTGCCGAGACAGCATTATCTTGCCACAGTGTGGTAGCTCAGATGGGTTTACCTCTTTGCTGCTGGTTGCTGCCAGTTACTGCAACTACCTCCACAGGGCATTTGACACTATCCTTGAGGCAGTATAGAGCTGAAGTGTTGGCCATTTTTCTCGTTCAGAAATGACTCAAGTCAGCTGGATGGCCTTCACCTCTGCAAACTCTCTGTGTTTACCTTCTCCTTCGGCAGTTTCTGTGACTTGTAGCAGACTCCGTCACTAATCCTTCCCTACAAATGTGGGGGGATCTATCAGTAAGCAAAGCATATTGCTTCTCATTTCCTGGAAATTTAATATACAGTGGGGCCTCTTCAGTATGTGTCACCTTCTCCCCTGGTGACATTCTGAAATCTTTTCTGCACAATCCATGACCACTTTCAAGATTCTTGGATAACTGCAGTTTGCTGTTTGGGCTTACTGTTTGATCCTTGATTGACCCACTCCATGCAGCAATCAATTGCATGATGTATGTAGAGGAGACCATCCCTTTAAACATTCCACCCAGCATGGGCAACCAGGGTGCCAGGAGGAGCTGTGCCTAAGTACCAGTCCCTTCTGAAGCAGCTTGAACCCCTTTATATTCTGCCAGTGTCTCTCTTCAGTTGAAATATAGTGGGCTTCTGATCTTCTGTATCCCCAACTCCAAAAACTTATGAGTCAATCTCAAGACTCTCCTGAAGCTTTCTCCTGGAAGCTCCAGGCAGGAACATTCTCCCCAGCTGTAGATTAGAGCACATTTCTTACATCTTGCCCTGGCCCAGCTGGCCAAAGGGCTACAGCATGAACTGTGAACTGTTTTCTGTTTGAATGGTTCAAGGATTTGTCATTGCCCAGGGCCCCATTTGAAATAGTTCTTCTGGATCACTTGATAGAGAGGGCTGATAATCAGACTGTCATTTAGAATGTATGTTCTCCAAAAATGCAGAATGCCTAAGGTGGCTTGCATTTCCTTTTTTACTAGTTGGTGGATACGTTTCTGTTATTTTGTTAATCACATCTGTTGTGATCTGATGATGTCCATCTTGCTGTTTTGTTCCTAAAAACTGTGTTACTTGTGCAGGTTCCTTGACCTTACTTTGTTTTATGGCAAAACCATCTTTCTCTCTCTCCATGGTGGTCCACTTGCCATGGTGACATGGAATGTCTTCCATGAAGAATACCTTTCCTTCACACCTGACAGTCACCTAGGTGCCATACCTGCTTGTCCCACCTCAGTGAGGTGGGGAGGAGAATCTGCAAAAATGTAAAACATCTGGGTTGAGACAAGAACAGTTCAGTAATTGAAATAAAACTAAATATATGCATGATATAATAATAATTGTAATGAAAAGGGAGACAACCAGAAAATTAAAAGCCAAGAAAGAGAATTGGTGCACAGTCCAGTTGCAGTGATTAGACCCTCCCAATTTATATACTGGACATGACATTCTGTGGTATGAAATATCACTTTGGCTGGTTCAGGTCACGTGTCCTGGCTGTGTCCCCTCCCCAGCTTCTTGTGCACCTGGTCACTGGGAAAGCAGGAGAAACTGAAAAGTTCTAGACTTAGGATAACCACAATTTAGCAGCAATCAAAGCATCAGTGTGTTATCAATATTATTCTCATGCTAAATTCAAAACACAGCATTGTGCTAGCTGCTGTGAAGAAAAACCCCAACTGAATGCAGGACAGGTGGTTAATTTTTGTTAAAGACGTTATACTTTTCTGTTTCCCTGTTTCCTCTTTTAAATCTTTACAGCTGAGGCCTCAAAGAAGGAAAATAACAGTTTGCAAACAGAGGATAAGCTTAGTCAGTCTGCAGTATCTGAAGCAAGTGGACAGAGGACTGAGAGGACTGAGCTAGAATCACAGCTAAATGTAGGTACACAGTCTGTTACCTCTTTTTTTTTTTATTGCAATGTTACTGAGAAATAAATCGTGAGAAATTATCTTTGTCCATCTCATTATAATTGAATTGGCTCAAGTCCATGCTATATATATATATAAAAGACAAACACTTTTATTACTTTTTGTGTGGATGTAATGTTTCCCATTGATGTAACATCAATGACTAAACTGGGATTAAAAATACCTTTTTTGTGTGTGTGTGGGCAGGTGGGGTTTCCCTATGAATGTAGAAAGTCTGTGCTTGCAGCTGTCAGGGTCTGTAATTTGAGCTGTTTACTAGCAGATTACATAAAGCAGATTATTTCAACTGTCTCTGAGATTAAGCTGTCTGGAAAGGCTGTGTATAGAGGTGCACATTCACATCATAGTTCAGTACAATGGAAAGTGTTAGGTTTGCATTCAGAGTTATATTTTATTGATACAAAAGGACTGCAGCTTTCTTTGTATGTTCTTGATACATCAGCCAGATTTCAGATACACATGGATATATAGTCATGAGTATATTTGTGTGTTTGAATGTTATGAAGCTACTCCTCTATCTCATATGTGTTCTGAGGCCACACAGAATGTGAATGACAATAATCTGTAGCTCCAAATACCATGGACATGGATGTGTTTCAGGACTCTCTGTAGTATTGACATGGTCATGCTTTCATTGAAGTCAATGCTTTAATTGAAAACGGGAAATAATGGCTAACTTAATATTCTCAGCTACTAAGATCTAAATTTAAATTTGGAATGTAAGTCAAATGTCCCTTTTCCTAGTTGAGAAAAGTAATATTTCCCAAAGCAAAACTGACAGAAAAGTAGTGATCAATCTCTCAATGGTCAAAATCTGTCTATCATTTGTAACAGTTTCTGAAACCTTATCTCTGAGTTCTAGAGTCATATTCTGATAATAATCATATCAGCAAAATGATCTAAAAAAATGCATGATTTGGTTGTAGAGTTGTACGGATATACTTGGAGAAAATAACAGAGTGATAGTAGTCCCTAAGATTTTTATTGCTGTGAGATAAGAACTCAGCCCTTGCCTCTTGGCTCCAAATCCTCATAGCTTGGTAGAATTGTGGCAGCTCTGTAATTGGCATCTGCAGTGTCTATAAGCAGTTCTGCAATGGTTTGAAAACTGATGGACCATCAAAGAAAACAAAATACCCACCTTCTCCCAAACCATGAAAAAATATACCCCAACTTTCATCTTTCACTCATTGTGTTTTGATGCTAGAATAATTTGTTATTAGTTTACAAATTCTTATGTATTTAAAACTCACTTGAAACTGTTTCAAAAAGCAGAATATAGACTTGTCCACTTTTTGCTGGCCTTCTTACGTGGTACTGGAAGTGAGGCTGGAAAAGTGAACTAGCATGCTGATTATTGCCAGTTCCATATTTTTTCCAACAGCTAAGAGCGAACAATGTGCATAACTTCATTTTAAAGTGGACAGCTTTTACCCACTTCACTACGTGCTGAATCCTCAGCCAACTTGCAGAAAAAAAATTCAAGTATTGGGACGGTGTGGAAGAATAAGAGGCTAAAGAGCTCTAGGGAGAGGGAACTCTGACCTAAGCAAACTCTTGGGCTGACTACACATGTAACCTGCATTACCGCTGATTTCTGTTTTATCTTGTCACATCTCTCTTTTGTTGTTGGTTTTTGGTTTTTTTTCTCTTTTTAACATAAGTTGCCATATTCTGTTTCATGTCATGACAAAAATAAAACTATATAATAGAATACTAGTATAAAAATAAAACTTTGCAGTTAAATTTTGCCAGCTACTGTATTGTAGTCCCTTGGGTTTATGAAGAAAGGTGGAACAAACAGTAAAAGAATTCTAACATTTAATTATTTGTACATTTGTTATAAACAGAATTGTTAAAGAAAAAAAATTGGTAGTATTGTTTATAGTGACAGGTCACTTTCAAGTCTTATCTTCTATGTTGAGAACAGAAGTAAAACACAGAAAAATTGGTCATACATGACATAAAGATAATTCTAAAAAAATTAAGATTTGTTGAGAGATAAGACACTTAGATATAAATTAAGAATTGTTGTAGCTGCTGTTCCATGGGATCATTACAATGAAATAGTGATCTAGAAAGATGTAAGCATAGGTAAGAAGATGAAGGTATTTTAGTCAATTCAGAAAATTTTAGAATAACATTAGCTTTGTTTTTGCTTTACAGGCTAACTTGCAAAAAGATAAAGAATCAACAGCTGTCCAGGCAAGCACATCTGAAGGTAAAAATAACCTTCATTATCAATATTGCATTTAATGTAGATCAGTAGTTTTGGAGCCTCTTACAGCTTTCCACCTTCCTCTAATGATCTGTAAAGTGTATAAAAACACTTTACTCTAAGTGTATAAAAATACTTTTTTATAACTCATAAACCTTCTAGAAGAAATCAGATAAAACTGTTATGCATCCTGATAAAGATATTATTCAGAAAAAGTGCCACAATGAAATGGTGTTTTAGTTGGACTCAGTTTCTTTAATGAACTACTGGGCGTGGAGAAATTACATGCAGATGTTAAGTTGAATTTGTTCAATTGAATTTATTCTGGGGTTTTTTGGTGTTTTTCTTGTAAGAGCCTAACGTAAGTCACGTTCCTGTCTGGACACGAAGTGGTCAATTGAAACGTCAGAGTATAAATAAAACTAGACAGCAACCTGGACCTGAAACTTCCAAAAGAGATGATGAAAATGCTCTTCCTGCATCCAAAAACAGGTACCAGAAGGCTGGATTGTACTGGTTTCTTATTTTGTTGCTTGGGCAGTCACAAACTGCATCAGTCTCAGAGTGTGCTACTGGTATTTCTTCTGCTTACTTCCTAGATTGATTCCTATTCCTTCTGCTTACTTTCTACTTGCTTGATTTTAAAATTACTAAACGTGAAGTCTGATGTAAGAAAGAAAAGTGAAGTATCATCTGAGTGACTGCACCAAAGTGTAGTTAGTATCTCTGAAAGCTCAGCAGATACTAGAAGTAACAGTAAGAGAACAGTTAGGGCTGAGGCTGTTCTGTTACAACTGAGTCTGTGCAATGGTAAAAATATCTGTATTCATGCCGCACAGTTTCTTGTGATCATGTAACTGGACTTGTATCCACAGTGTTGCGTGTGGTCTTTGAAGAGGTGTCCATTCCTCACTTCTTGTTATGTTAAAGTCTTTGGCTAGACACAGCCTTATTTTTGTGTTTAAACTGCTCTGTGGGACTACAGATATTGCTGTGCTGCATTGTCAGTGGGCTGCCATAAGCTGGTTCAAACGGGCTAAATGGTGCAATTTAATGCTGCCGCAGCTTGAGTAATGCTTTGCACTGTTACCACTAATATTTGGTTAGTGGTATGTGAGAGGACTAGCTTTATATTCAGTATTGTTAATAATTTGGGGCCTTGCAAAATTAAGCCAGTGAGGTGCTGCTGCTCCTTTTAGCAAGATGTGCAATATGGTGGTTTTGAGTAGAGCTAAGGGATATCCTAAAGGCAACAGAATGGGATTTCAGCTTAGTTCTTTCCTTCCATGCACATCAGCAAGTGAAACAGGGTCTTCTATTGGGGACTTTCCTATGGAGTGTCCTCATCACAAAACTAGCACGTGGGGATAAAACCCTCCAATACTGCCTTTACTATGAGATTGCAAAGCAGACTCCTGTAACTCTATTGCGTGTACTTTCTTCTTTGCTTGTGTGTGGTAGTTTGTTCATCTAAACTTTATCATCTCAAAAGTGAGAACTGAATATATGAGTTAGTGTTACTACCCATCAGGTGCAACAGCACTACATCTTTAGCTCTTTGCTAATGTAATCTCTAGTTGATTGAAACATCTTTGGCCATGATGTGTTTAATGCCTTGAATTATTTTCCAGTCATGGTCTTAGTAATACATGTATATTCAATGATAACACATACATAGTTTCTTTTATGAATTTTATGCTTTTATAATTCCATAATTTTAAACCATTTCTACAGTGCGTATAGGAGGGGTGGAAGAAGCTTTCCTTACCCCTTTGTGGCTTTCAAATATGTAAGGTATTGCTACTTTTTTAATTTAAAATAATGAACTTGGAGAAATTTCTGACTTCTTTCCCATAAAATGGAAGTGAGATAGATATCATCATTTTATAATTGCCAAAGCAATTTTGCTATTGATTTTTTTTTCCTAATAAGGAGTTAGCCATTTTTAGATGCCTCTAGTTTTCTTGATTCTCGTTTTCTATGGCAAGCATGTGATACTGCACTTTATAGATGGTTGTAGTGGGTTGATGCTGGCTGGATGCTAGGTACTCACTAAAGCCGCTCTCTCATTCCCCTCTGCAACTGGACAGAGGTCACTTACTGATCACCATAACAGGCAAAACAGACTCAAAGTGGGGACATTAATTAAATTTGTTACTAACAGCTTCAGAGCAGGAGAATGAGAAGTAAAATAATCTTAAAAACACCCTCCCCTCACCCCTCCTTCCTTCAAGTTCTGCCTCCTCCCCCAAGAGGCATAGGAGATGGGGAATAGGTGTTACAATCAGTTCATCGCAGGTTGTTTCTACCACTGCTCAAGGAGAAGAGTCCTTCTCCTGCTCCCCTGGGGTCCTTCCCACAGGAGACAGTCCTTCACAAACTTCTCCAGTGTGAGTCCATCCTACGGGCAGCAGTTCTTCGCAAACTGCTGCAATGTGGGTCACTTCTCTATGTGGTGCAGTTCTTCAGGCACAGACTGCTCCAGCATGGGTCCTCCACAGGTTCACAATCCCTACCAGGAAAACCTGCTCCAGTGTGGGCTCCTTTTTCTGTGGGTCAGCAGGTCCCTGCCAGGACCCTATTCCAACCTGGGTCACAGCATCCTTTGGGCATCCACCTGCTCAAGCATGGGCTTCTCCCCATGCTGCAGGTGGCTCTGTGCATCCCCATGGTCCTTCATGGACTGCAAGAGCACAGCTGGTTCACTATGGTCTTCACCACAAGCTGCAGGAGAAGTTCAGCTCTGGCACCTGTAGCACTACTCCCCTTCCTTCTCCACAGACCTTGGTGTCTGCATTGTTGTTGACATGTTCTCACTCTGCTCTTATCTGGCTGCAATTTTTCATCTATACAATAACTTTTTTCCCCCTTCTTAAGTACCTTATCACAGAGATGTTACTATCATCCCTGGTTGGCTCGGCCTTGGCCAGTGGTGGGTCTGTCCTGGAGCTGCCTGGCATTGGCTCTACTGGACATGGGGGAAGCTTCTGGCAGCTTATCACAGAAGTCACCCCTGTAGATCCCCTGCTCCCAAAACCTGACCACAAAAACACAATACACTGGTTGTGAAAGAATTGCCCTGCTGAGATAACTAAAATTGTATTGATCTAAAAGATTAAAACATGTATCTTAATACTTGCTGCAGGCCGGAACTTCTTGCCCACACATCTGAAAATTCTGAAGACTTGGTAGAGGTACCTAAGGTGGATACTGTTGAGAAGGATGAGGAAGTAATTGTTGAAAACGAGGGCCAGTCTGTGTTAGAAGCGGAGCTACGTGTATCACCCCCTGAGAAACAGAGTGAGAAGGAGGTGAGCTGGATGTGATAGCAATAGCAGTTTGGAACACAATTACAATTTCTGTTAAATATGGTCCTTGCTGCCTTGACCATGTGACTATCAAATCTTTGACTTTTCACAGCAATACTTCATTAAGAAATGTATCTGAGAAACGCTAGTATAGAATTAGTTTTAGGGAATATTCCACTGTATATATTTTGAACAACCGAGTTCATAGAATCTTCAATAAGGTGAATTTCTAGCTTGTCTAGCAACCTAATTTTCTTCATTGATTTCTCCTAATCAGAAATTCCAGAGAACTGGAGTAAGGTCAAGATCTGATCTAGTATCACTAATTAAAAAAAAAAGTCTGTGTGAAGAAGTCAATAGCTGGTATGCTTCAGTGACTTCTCTTGGCTCTTTCTACTCGTCCCCTTAAAACTTGCCTGTTGGATTTAAATATCAAGTTTAAATCCAGCTGGTATCCTCAATTTGTTAATAGCTTGAATTTAAATTTCTGAGTACCCTTTGTGCCTAGCAATGTCTCCAATGTTTTATGTTCTTACTGATGGGTGAGAAAGTCAATCTTACATTATGTTAGGTTCAAGGGATGACTTCAGCATGCATGAATGTGAGATGCATAAAAACTGATTGGCTTGTCACCTAACTGTGTAAGCTATGCAGAAACTTACTGCAGGTGGCAACACCAAGCTACTACTCTGGTCAATGCATTAAGTTCTGCCTTCTTAGTACACGTTTCTAGGTACCTGAGCTATCTGCTTCTCACATTAAGCTGCAAATTTAGGTCACAAGGTACACCCACTAGTGCTGGGGAGCAATAGGTGGACATAACCTCAAGTTAAAAATGTGATTTATTTTTTTAAAGGAATCTCCATCAGAACCTCTTAATGGTGAGGTAGCAGAGGAAACTGGTAGGACCTCACTTATGGCTGAAGAGGGAACAGCAAATGAAGTTCCAAGTGGCGAGCCAAAATTGCAGTCTGAGAGTCAAGGAAAAGACCCCTTAACGCTGTTTGTTCCATTAATCCTTGAGTCTCCAGCAAAATCTTCAGAAGACACTGTATCAGAAAAGGTGAGATAAACGAAACAAAATGGGAAGCCTTTTTTCCTTTAGAATGTATGTTTCTTGCAGGTTTGGGTTTTTTTCTTTTGTTAAGTAACAGATAGAAAGCAGCCCCTAACGTGAAATTATTGGGAGGACCAATTATTAAGCCAGGTAATGTAAATCCGCAATGACAATATACTAACATTTCTGTTTCAATATGCAGAATGGCGACATATCACAAAAAAGATAGATAACCAAAAAGAAAGATATGTTTGCTACAGTTTGCTTTGGCAGTAATGAAACTGCTGTTTCTCACTAAAATATTGGTTGGGTATGAGTGAAAAGCCACATCCTTATTCTATGTAGCAATTCTTTCCTGATTAGGTGTACAAATAATTAATTAGTGCTAAAATGTCTTTCTAGAACACAGGTTTTACTGGGTTTTGTTTATAGTGCAAAAGCAGATTGTTATATGGCAAAAATAACTATTTATCTAAAATATTTTTCCCCTTGGGATTAATTTCAGAATACTTTTGCTGTACCTGCGTACTCCTTTGAATAATTTGAAAATTGGAGAGTAACTCTGGTTTCCAAATGCAGGTCACAAAATAGTGTTGTGCAAAAAGGAGAAAAGGACTGATTTATCGAATGTATGTGTAGTATTAAAAAATGCTGAATACCAAAGTGTCCTCTAAGGTTGCTAGCTAAGTGCAATTGTTGTTCAGCATCTTGTATCTTCAATTAATTGTCTCTTTGGTAATTTTGGCACCCTGTCCCTCCACCCACAGGTTTTAAATGAAAATGATTCAGAAGTGCTGACTGAAGAAGTTACATCAGTAGAGAAGGAGGGCATTGGAGAACAGCAAGAATCTGAAAAGGCCACCACTGAAAATGCATCTGCTTCAGCATCAAAGGAAGAGCTCTCTGACAATGTCCTGCCTAACTCTGCAGCAACTGAAGCAACTGAAGAGTCTCTTTCTGAAAACTTACCTGCCTCATTAGAAGTTCAAAATGAGGAAGCAGGGCACAACTCACAGGAGGCCCCTGTTGCCTTGAGTCAGAGCTCTTTGATAGTGGTTGAACTTGAGGGTGTTTCTTTTCAGCAGCCTTCTGGGCAGGAAGGACAGAAGAACCAGTTGGAAGAGCCCTCAGAAGAGTCTACAGAGCAGACAGATCACTACACGCAGACAGTGGCAGAGCGGGCTGCTGACAGCAGCTCTGAGGAAGCAGAAATTGAGGTACCTGTAGTAGATCGGAGAAACTTGCGAAGAAAGGCCAAAGGCTATAAAGGTCCACCCAAGAAAAAAGGAAAGCCAGCTTAAAAATGAAATATTGATTGTTAATTCATCTATTTATAAGAAAGTTATTTTGTGTAAAACATTAGGGTGTAACTAAACCATATCAGGCACAGGACATGGCGTGTTTAAAATTCTGGGTTGGACTTCCTTTTGGGTTCATCACCTTTTTTCAAGGTTTAATTTTTAACCACTAGACATTGAACTTCTTTATAGTATGAAAGTAAATAGGCACTGTCCTCCCTTCACAAAGAATATATGCTGAAGAAATACAGTTTGGGAACATATACAAGAAATACAGTTAAGGGAACAGTTTGTGTAATTAAAGTGGCAGTCATGGAAGAAAAATGCAGTGTGAAATCCTGGCTCTATCAAGGCCCTTAAATTCCCATAGATGGCCATGATACCAGACATCACTCCAGATATATATATTTTTTTTTAAATAACTTTTTGTTCTCTACTGTGGAAAGAAGCAGAGCAAGAAAAATCCTACCTTGCTTCTTGTTCTCTTTCCAAAGGTTTTCTCATATGAGATTAAAAGAATGTAAAGTCTGTCATTCTAGGTCTCAAAATATACAAGGTGTAGCTCAGTAGATCAACACAACATAAGCATTTATCTTTCATGAGAATCACTTGAAACAGCTGAGTCAGTAGAAACACAGTGCAGTATCTGCCACAGCTGATTCTGGTAATGGATTTCTTGTGCAAAGATAGAGATGCCTACATGGTAAACTATTTGTGGCTTCCTAAGCAAGCATTTTGATAATCGTAAGTTTTTCCAGAGTGTATGGAGTGTAGACTACATATGGAATTGTTTGAACTGCCTTCCTAACTACTTGCATGTGTTGAGTGAATAGTTGATTACTGGTTGCATTACAGGAAAAGGATATGACAACTTTTGATCTTGTTTTGGTCTGAATGGAAGTGGTTCTTCATTTTTTCCAAATACTTTGCTAGTGCTGTGGGGTAACTATTAAAATTTTGTGTCTGCCAGATGTGTGACTCCCGAGAGCACTGACATTTCAGATGGTTATGACATTCATTAGTGTGACTATTAGTGGGTATTTCAGCAAATGCTTGTTTGCCAAACTTCCATGCCTTTAGGAATTAGCAGGTGATAGATTGCAAATGTTTCTGATTCCCACTTTCTTTTTCCAACCTGAGTGCAATTCCTAGGATGATAGCTTCCCGGTTCACAACTGTTCTTAAAAGCAGCAACTAAACTTTGCTGTATGTGGACAGAAATAAACCCAGACTTTCCATGCATATTCCCCTTCTGAGGTTCTCCTGGCAAACCATGTACTTAACTTGTCACACATACCTAAGCTACTCCTTAGTTTGCTATGTATATTCCAGTAAATGAAGCTTCTCTAGTAATGGGTTAAAAACTCAGAAATAAAAGAACAATGATTCTAAGAACAGGAAATCACACACCACTTTTTGTTCTGCTTATATGCCTTTTCCAAGGTGAGTGAACTAGTCTTTCACAATATCTCAAAAACAAAGGTACAACTATTCAAGGTTCACCTGAATAGTTGCAGTGCTGTCTTAACTTTTATCCTTTTATGAAGCTAATAAAAGAATTTGGTTTTGGACTTTTATGCTTATATAATTTAACTCATAATTTATAAGATATTTTAACTATATAAGATACATTCATGCTATTTCCTTTAGCTGATGAAATACCATGTTCCTTTTGAATCTGTTAGGAGCAGCTCATAGAAAAAAAAAAGTTTTAAAAAAATGTGTTACCTAAACTTTAAACTTGGAGTGCATGAGATTACTGAGTTAAGTCTGGGTTTCTTGAACTATTGCATGTAGCTATAATATCTTAGCAAAGTACATACAGGTACTCCTTATGAACCCCATCACTGATAAATATTCAAGATATTTCCTGATTGTGTGCAAACATATTCAGGTGAACCTCAAGCATTTCTAAAACTCATGAAACATTTTTATATAAAAAACTTCTGTTATCTTGTGTATGGTTTCTCTTTTACTGCTGAGATTAATTATGTTTTAAAGAAGAAGTGGCTAGAAAACACATCTCTTGCATTGCTAAGACTCTGGGGTTTGTGAGGACTGGTGGCCTAAAAGAGAGTGGTTGTATACAGTATATTGCAATTCATCTTCATTTTTAGGGCAAGCTTTACTGAAGATGAATCTGCTGAATCCTTCAATTGATATAAATGTATCTGCTTTCAAAAAGTTAAGGATTCTTTAGCTTACAAAAAGTGAGCCCCAGTTATTTCAGTTACTCCTAGGTGAATTTTTGATATTTGTGTTTATTGCTTATATTCCCTGTGAAGTTGAAAAACTGTTCATGAGAAGGTAATTTCACTCACTTGGCTTTTACTTTACATGGCTAAGTTGGAATGATTTCAGCAAGATATTTGCATAGTCAGTAGATAAGTATTGCGTCACTATGATATTAAGACACTCTTAGTTTCTACTAAGAGCAATCAAATTTCTGATCTCATTTCAGTGAGTCAGTTTAAATAATGAACTTAAATTCACATGTTTAAATTATTCTCTTGAGTAGATACTTCTAAAAATCTGGTGTATGTGGGATAATAGCTGACAGCCAGACTTTTAACATACAGAATGTGGGCAGTTGTGGTGCAATTGGAAATTCAGAGAACCAATATAATCTTGAAAAATGGACACTGTTCTAACTGGGATCACAGCAGTACTTTGAACCAAAGGCCGCATTTTTTGTCTATAACAACTTCTTTGGCATTAATCATTCTGCAGTAAATACAGAGTAGGAAAATAAAAATACTGACTTTATTGTTTTTATGGCTGTACTGTACAGTAGTTCAATAGCCTATGCATTCTGTTAAATTTATATAAGGGAACATGTCTGACCACTGTATTGACTGGAGTGTTTTATCTTGGGAAAAACGGTGGTTTCTAAGCTTGGAAAAATTTTTTGGTATATTAACTATCTTATTACCATCAAACTCTTAAATAATTTTTAAGATCCTATTGCACCAGCAACAAATGATTAAAACATCAACTTTATACAAGTTTGTAACAAATGTTATTACAACATGCTGTGGAAGTAAGTGTGTAGAGTGAAAGCAAGCAGTATTATTTTTGAGCTTTATTTAGACTAGGAATAGAGCTTAAAGAACATTTTTTGACTTCAGCCTTGCATTTAAATGCTAAATGGTTTTGTACTTGAATCCAACGTTTATTCATATGTCTGTCTTGTACTGCTTCTTGCACATTCTCTCCTGGTCAGTTTTAATTTCATGCAGAATTCTTGTTTGCTGTTCCCTTGTTCCACAGCCCTTTACATGAAAATATATACATCTTACTTCAGAAGAGCTTTAACTTATTTTAAATTATGTCTGACCATGGTCTGCTGCTTTCTCGTACCATTTCATGTGTAGATTTCAATAATCAAATTGATCATTTACAATGTCATTGACATGACTTACACATAGCAACAAATAAGTTTAAGTTTCAGCTTCCCTGCTCTAAGTGACTGTTCTAAAACACTATTTCCAAGGGGATATACTTCTAAATTTATTTTCACAAATGTGGTGTTAGATGTTTTCTAAACTGGTGATACTGTGTTTATAAATCTTATGAAAGATGTGTTACTATTGCATAGTATTGTACCTTAGTCTTGTTAGTGTTAATATTTCCTTTTTTAGTACTGCCTTGGCTGCTTTTGAAATGTTTGAAGTAGTAATTAAACTATTATTTTGTGATTTATTTTTTTTTCTGCTTGGTTTTTAGTATTTGAGTCCTTTCTGCTATACAGGAAGCACATTTTAAAGTGATTCAGTTCACTAGAACTATTATTTTACAATCTGTCTGCTACAAAGGAGTTCTAAAACATCAAAGGTTATTAATTGAAAAATCTTATATCAGTTAAAACAGTTTTCTGTAATTAGTGCATCAGACTTTTTTTTTTAAAGTAACAGAATAGGCTCTTCTGTATGTTACAGCGTGGATTCTGCTGTTTATATCAATAATGCAAGATGATGTAAACGTAGCAGTTATTAATGGAGTTTGCTATGGACAACCAACTAGAAATGCTGTAATGCATTCCTACAGTGTGATAAATTAAAATGCCTTAAGAGCAGTAATTGTTGAACCAACAAGTCACATGAGGATGTCAGTAATCAAACTGATCATTTACAATGTCATTGACATGACTTACACATAGCAACAAATTGATCTAAGTTTCAGCTTCCCTGCTTTAAGTGACTATTCTAAAATACTATTTCCAAGGGGATATACTTCTAAATCTATCTTCACAAATGTGATGTTAGATGTTTTCTAAACTAGTGATACTGTGTTTATCAATCTTATGAAAGATGTATTACTTTTTTAGTATATAAATATATTTAAAGCACAAAATGTAGTAAAGTTTTTCAAGACAGCTGTAGAAAATTATTCTGTTCATGTTGTTAATGTCCAGTAAACGTTAAAGCAACAGGAACTTAAATGGGGGTTATCTGTTCTGACAAAATGCCCTCTCTCCAAGCAAATAACTTACTGGTTTGTGATTCTCTTTTATTTATCATTTACACAAAGTAAAAACCATAGTAAATTACTAAGTCTAGATGAGGGCAATGTGTTAAATTAATTAAACAGTTTGTAACAGAAGGCTCTGTGTTAAAATACTGCCTCTATCAGATCATATAAGAGAAGTTATGATGGCAGTACATAAGCAGCTAGCTTGACTTCCAGACCGGAGTTCCAGATCTGAAACATGACTGAGGAGCATCTGTGATAGAAGAGGCTGAGAGCTGCAATTGTTCTGCCTGGAGAAAGCTCAGGAAGGTCTTACCTTCTGTACAAATACCCGGTGGAGAGGGAGGGTGTATGTCATGAACGATTCTTTAGGTTGCCTAAGAATTGCTGTCTAAGGTATTAACAGAAGCAGGTTTAATTTGCAAAAGCATGATTTAACAAAGTTTGTTGGTGAAATTTGCTCTATTACTTACTAGATAGATGAAGTATACAAAAGAAAATAGAATTAGAATCAATCTAAAACTATTTACAGAGATTGAGGATGCCAAAGGGCAAGGGAGACGCTCCTGTTACGAGGTTCAGAGAGGATTCCCTTTCTTTTGTATATGCATAGAAGGTAAGGATTGTTGGTAATAACACTGTGAGAAAGAACAGGATATGGCTGCAGATGGGGGCATATCGAGGTAGGGCAGCACTTTTCCAGGAAAAACTTCCTTGTTCTAGCTTCTGGGAATAAACACAACACAGTACAGAGCAGATGCAGGGATACAGCTGACCTACCCCCGTGGCTCCACGAAGTCTGGGTGCACACGTGCTGCAGGACCTGGACACCCAATCAGCTGCAGCAATGTTCCAATCTCCCTCCCTTCCTAATTCATCTCTCTGTATCTCTCTCTCCCTGCTTTCAACCTCTCCTTTATCCAAAACCCACTGGCATGTGCATATACTAGATCTGGGACTAACATGCTGTGTAATTTACTAATAAAACTTCATAAGCTTTTGCTGACCATTTGACTTTTGTCGTTCCTTTCAACCACAAGCACCTATGAATCTTGGGTGCTCCCCTCCCCTTAAGGGTGAGATGCCAAAGCTTTCTAAACTCCTTGTAGAGTGTGACTGAGTCCAATCTTAGTTCCAGTCAATGGTTTACGTATTAAGAATTTGGCAGCACTTAATCATTGACTATTTAACCATGTACAAAGTGATTCAATAGGATTTACTCAACAGTGACTTAGTTACAGATTTGACATTGCAAGTTATGCTGTACTTGCTATATAGGGTGTTTAAATCAATTCACATGCACATGTGCTTATATATATGTATGCATATGCGTACATATATACATATATACAAATTTACCTGATAAAATTCCCCTTGAGTTCAATGAAATGCTCAAATTGACTGTCTTTACATTTCTCAAGGGGTGAGTGTTGAGCCTTGAGGAGTGTGGAAGACTATCAGCCAGGCCCTGTATCAGCTTTTGGCAACAGCAGCGGTCCTGAGCATTGCGAACTCTCAAACGGGTGAGCTCTAGGAGGTTTTCCACTCCCAGGGAGATAATGGTCAGCCCACAGTGGCCCAAGAGAGCTCAGAGGGCCTCACTTAGGACCACTGTTTATAGGATTGCAAGATGACTGACTTTAGTCATTAGTCAGCCTTCCTCCTGGCCATAAGTAATTACTGGAATTTTTCAGAAGTCTAGTAATAATAATATTGTTCCACACTGGCTATGATTCAGGTGATTTATGGTCAGACTATTGGGTATGGCTGATCATCTCTTATCCCTCTGTGCGCTTAGGCATCGGAAGTTCCTGTTTATGGACTGTTTCTGGTAAGCTCAAGGGGAGCTTAACTGTGCAGAAGCCACACATCACCACATGGTATAAAAGTGGATCAAAACTCAGCTGTGCCCAGTTAAACACAAATTGAAATATAGGAAATTCTATTTAAACGTAAAAACATTTAAACTAAGCGTGGTCAAATGCTGGCCAGATTGCTCAGGGAGGTGGTAAAGTCTCCATCCTTGGATATACTCAAAACCTGACCGTATGTTGTTCTCTGACACCTGCTGTAGATCACTGCTTCAAACAGGGGGCTTGCACTACACTCTCAAGAGGTCCCTTCCAACCTTAACTATTTTGATTCTATCTGCTATTTAACCTGCTTATTGCATCTGTGACCACCTGTAGCTCTAAACTTTTGTTAATGCAAAAAAATCCAAAGCAAACCTATTCACATTCTGGATTCTGAAACATCTTGACAGTTTCATTTGAAAGTTTCCTTCTTATAGTGTTGAAGGGTAAGAGTACCCTCATACACTGGATGAGTATAAATGATATTGGCAAAATGCGAAAATTAAATCTCTTTATTTGGACAATGTTCGGCTGAACAAACACAACAAATATAAAAACATGGGCAGTTGTTTCTGGCTTAAGTTCCTCAGCAGCTTGTTCTGGAATGGTTGAAGGTTCTAAAGATCTTGGAGACTTGTTGAAACTCTGCTTATTTTGTAGGAGCCCACGTCCAGTGCTTGGTATCCAACCCAACTTAAACAAGTAGAACTGCATTAATACAGCCATCATTTTCCGGATTGTTTGTTACTTGTGCATATTTCCCTAAAGAGAAAAGAGAATTAAATGTCTATAAAAGCTCGAAGTAGATCATCTAGGTTAGATTTTTCTGTATTTGCAAGTTCAATCCACAAGTCTCTAAAGTGTACGGACTCATGCATTTTGAAATCTAAATCTACCAACTACTGGTAGATAACCAACTTATGTTCTCAAAATATTATACTCAGGCTGTTTTTTATAAACAGATTATTTGGAGTTCTGAATAGAATAAAAAAAATACCTAGGTTTGCTACTGTCCAACTGATCCCCTCTATTAAAATAAGTCAATCTTATGAAGACCATAGAATATGCTGAATTGGAACAGTCCTATCAGAATTGAGTCCAACTCCTGGCCCTGTACAGGACAGCCTCTGTGTCTGAGAGCATTGTTCAAACACTTCTTGAACTCAGACAGGCTTGGTGCTGTGATCGCTTTCTCAGGTAGCCTGTTCCAGTGCCCAGTAACCCTCTGGGTGAAAAACCTTTTTCTGATATCCAGCTTAACCTCTCCTGACTCAGCTTCATGTTGTTCCCTCGGGTCCTGTCACTGGTCACCACAGAGAAGGTATCAGTACCTGCCCCTCCTCTTTCCCTCATGAGGAAGTTGTAGACTGTGAAGAGTCTCCCCTCAGTCTCCTCCAGGCTGAACAGACCAAGTCACCCATCCACTCCTTATACAGCTTCCCCTCAAGGCCCTTCACCATCTTGGTTGCCCTCCTTCGGACACTCTCTAATAGCTCAGTATCTTCCTTATATTGTGGTGCCCCGAACTGCACACAATATTCAAGGTGAGGCCGCCCCGGTGCAGAGCAGAGCGGGACAATCCCCTCCCTTGACCGGCTGGTGATGCTTTGCCTGATGCCCCCCAGGACGTGGTTGGCCCTCTCGGCTGCCAGGGCACTGCTGACTCAGATTCAACTGGCCATTAACCAGGACCCTCAGATCCCTTTTCCACAATGCTGCTCTCCAGCCTCTTGTTCCCCAGTCTATATTCAAAACCAGGGTTGCCCCATCCCATGTGCAGAATCTGGCTATGATACTCCTATACAACTTCCACTGAAAACATAATATAATTGTTCACACAGTTATAACTTGTGACATTGCTCAATGTGACACACAGGCAAGCAAGCTGAGTCTTTGTTCTGAACTTCATCCAACTTGATCCTGAAGTGTGAATGGAAAGCCCAAGATTAACACTTAAAGTTTTTATTTTCAGAGTTGCTAATGGTTGTTTCTGCTACAGCCCAAACAAAACATTTAACAATGACTATAGGACAAGGTCTTAACAATACATGATGCAATGAGGACTTAAAACTTTTAAAAGCAGTTCTGCAGTATGACTAGTTATAAAAGTAGTTCTGCAGTATGACTAGTTAAACTTACTTACCCCAGATAACTTTGCCCCCTTGTGTCACAAGGCCAAGCTCACTCACATTAACCTCAATGACGGTACCCTTGGTAATTACACCAAGTGTTGTATACAAAGGAGAAGATGGATTCTTTTTTACGCCAAGGATAGGTAGGCAAAACGTGGCTTTAAGTTCAGGATGTGTCACATGTGCCTTCTTGAAACGTAAGCCCTGTTGCATAAGGAATGTTAGAATGAGTTAATATTTGCTTTAAGCTCTCATGTCTGATCTAGTAAACACTTGCAGCATTATATCCTCAGCTTTATGTTCTAAGACTGGGTTAGAATACAGAATGCTATCTACCTCCTATAGATTATCAAAATTATTTAAGAACCTGATTAATGATAAGAAAAAGCTTTCAGTGTGTATTTTCAGGATATAAATTTTTAATAATAGCACAAGAATAATACTGGTTATCTTGGATGGTTACTGTTCCATAAAGAAAGTATTGTAAAATTAAATACTCATCTCTATAGCAGTTTTTATCTAGTAACTTGCACTTTGTAAGGGGTACCTTACCATTAAGTACCATAAATCATTCTGTGTCAATAAAAATCTACCCAAGGCTTCTGTGTAATACGATCAAACTAGTAATGAGGTACAATCCAGCAGTTACTGAGTTCTGTGAGAGAACAAGAACACGTGTTCCTCTAAAAACTACACTGTATCACCGAATCCAGCTTTTCCTCCTGTGCACTGCCAGGCTGAGAGCCCAGGCACTGTTCCTGCAGCTGTGTAAGTAAAGGTCAGGATGTAGGTACAGCACTTCTGGAGGTACTAAGCTTACTTTAGACAGGAGGGAGCTCTGGAGTCTTAGAAGAGAGTTGGCTTCTGCAGCTGAGAGATCATAGTAGCTTGAAAAAGAAGCCTCCAACATTAACAGCTATTCAAAATACCTTTGATAAAGATTTGAAAGCTCATAGTTTTAACTTCCTGACATCATCTGAGTTGCGGGAATAAAAGCAGATATTTCAACACAGACTGTGATTGCAGGGGCATCTCCCCACCCACATGCAATCAGAACTTTAGATTTATGCAAGCAAACCAACAGGAACATTCTACGTAAGTAGTAATTCACTGCATTATCATACAAGAAAGCACCCTCACCACAGAAACTCAAGGCAGTAAGTCAGAAGAATTATTACTTAAATGATCTTTAAGGCTCAAAAATATTACCATAGGTCGAATGAATCGCTCGTATTTAGGAGGCTTCCTAGTAAAGCCATCTCCAACAAAACAAACTTTGGTAACCATTCTCTTCCAGGCCTTCTTCTTTCTCTTTCCTGTACGAATTACTTTCAAAACTTCTGTTTCCCCTTGTGCACGGACCTTTGGCACAGGAACCTCCCATTTCCCCTGGAAGAGGGGGAAACAAAAAGGTCAGTGTTCCTTCATGTCACATTGCTAAGTAAAAGAGGATGGACAAAGCATAAAATAAAATTTCCCTAAATTATAGTTAGTGGTAGACCATACTTGTCATACAACTTGTAGCTACTTAATTAGCATTTAAAGTTCTGAAAATTAAGATATTGCATATGCTCACATTGTCCTAAACTGCTCAATTACTCAAGGTTTCAGGCTTTAATTAGTCTTTGCTTGTAGGCTGTTAAGAAAACTGAGAATCAGCAACACAAAGTGGTCACTGTCACAAATAACTGTAGGTATCTGAACTCTGATACAGTTACTTACAGCTTTTTCTTTTCTTTTCTGTTTGATCATGTTAGAGAGAACCTTAGCTCGGGACTGGCCCTCTCTGTCCAGCAGGTACGCTGGTACAGCTCCCTTGGGTGTTTTTTCATCACTCTTTTGCTTTGTATTTCTCTTCTCATGCATTTTAATGCTGCAAAGAAAGAAAGCCAGTATTAGAAGGAGGGAAAAAAGGCTTATTTTTAGATAGACCCTTTCAACTTAGCCTGTGCCTGCTCAAATTTTTAAGAGATATTTGTAAAGAATTACACATTTATATATAAGAAACAATCCTAAATAATT